AGGACTAAGAATAGCCACTTTAGCCAAACACCCCCACACTTTTAAGTATTTGTAGGATGGTACTCTCTCATGCCACATTTCATAAGGTGTTTGATAAGGGTGAGCATGGTCCGGATTGGGGTAAAATCAGGACCAATCCGTTATCTACAGTTCCTGAAAAATTGGAACCAATCCAATCCATTTAAATCATGAAACCAATCCGAACCAATCCATTTAAACACGGATTGGATCGGTTTAGGACCACAGATTTACATAATTAAATAACAAAAAAATATATATATAACATTTTAATTTCATAAAAATATAAACATAGCGCTATATTAGTTCTACAATAGCAATATATCTTTGTATAATAGCGACATACTGTTCTAGAATTTAAACAACTATAAGAAAACTGGTTTCATTATAAGTATTTAGACTATTACAAATTAACACTAAAAACTAACAAACAAAAGTAATAAAAGAAGATATTATGCGGGTTTACATTTTATATGGAATAAGAGAAAATACTATGAGGGAGGATATATAATAAAAATATAGATTATTTGTATACGGTCCGGATCGATTCTAATCTGGAACTGTAGGGTTCAATTCGGAACCACTCCATGGACTACGGACTGCGGACTGCGGATTTCACGGATTCCTTGCTTAGCCCTAGTGTTTGATTCACTTTTTTTCGGGATACTTTATTAAGTATATAATTAGCAGAAAGTATTGCTTCCCCCCACAAGTTCTGAGGTAATGCAAAACTGATTAACATGGCATTCATCATTTCTTTTAAAGTCGTATTTTTCCTTTCAGTAATTCCATTTTGCTGAGGTGAGTAAGGAGCGGTGGTTTGATGAATTATTCCATGTTCTTTACAAAACTCACCAAAAGATGATTCATATTCACCACCTCTATCACTTCTAAGTTTTTTAATTTTCTTACCAAGTTGATTTTCAACTTTATTCTTATATGGAATGAAAGTTTCCAAAGCTTCATCCTTAGTTCAAATTAAATAAACATAACTATATCTAGTATAGATATCTATGAAAGTGATAAAATGTTTTTTCCAACCTCTGGTTTGAATTGATTTAAAATCACAAATGTCACTATGAATTAATTCAAGTGGTTCCGTACTTCTTTTAATTGAATGGAAAGGAGTTTTGAAAAATTTTGCTTCAACGCAAATTTCACATTTATGATTTGAATCAATATCAAATTTAGATAAACATTCCATATTAATTAATCTACGCAAAGATCAATAATTAACATGTCCAAGTCTACCATGCCATAAATTTGAAGACTCAAGTAAATAAGAAGAAGATGTATTTTTATTTATAACAGAAGGTACAATAGTCATTACATTCATTTTGAAAAAGGCCATCAGACATGTAACATTTTCCTATATACATCCTGTTTTTGGTAAGTACAAACTTGTCACTTTCAAAAACTAGCCTAAACCCATTTTTACTCAACAAAGATCCAGAAACAAGATTCTTGCGAATGTCCGGTACATGCAGCACATTGTTGAGAGTGAGTTCCTTTCTAGATGTCATCTTCAAAATAATCTTTTCTTGTCCTTCAACTTTAGAAATTGAAGAGTTGCCCATAAAAAGTTGTTCACCGTTGACCATTGTAGAATAAGATGTGAACATCTTTTTGTCGGTACAGATATGGCGAGTAGCACCAGCGCCCACCCACCACTCTCTAGGATTTCTGACAAAGTTTGCCTCGGAAACAACTGTAGAAAGATTTATGACATCTCTATTGGAAATTTTATTCTTTCGGTCATATAGGTTGGAGCAGGCTTCTTGCTTGATCTTTCTTTGCCTTTACCTTTGCAATGGCAATCTTTGGCCTAATGTCCCTATTTGTCACAAATGTAATACTTGCCATTAAACTTGTACTTCTTAATTTCCCCTCCTTTAGATAGCATTTTCTTTGGCCATCTTTTAAAACCAATTACTGAAAACTTCTCTGACTTTTCATCGTGATTAACTACCACAGTCACAATAGGAGAGGAGGTTAGCACAATTGCAGCCACTATACCAGTACTGGTTTGAACATTTTTGACCAGTTTTAGTAACCATGAATTCTAAATTATAAAACAAAATTATAATTAAAATTTTATACTACACAGAGAATTAAACCATAAATACAGAATTTTAAATTCTGTAAAATAAAAGAACCAAGATTTGTAACATTTGTTTCCAATTAATTTGAAAATAAAATAAAATTTTATTTAAACAAATTAATTCTACACAGAAAATTAAATTCTGAAAAAATAAAAGAAACAAGAAATGCAACTTTTATTTCCAATTTATTTGAAAATAAAATAAAATTTTATTTAAACAAATTAATTCCACACAGAAAATTAAATTTCTGTAACACTTCAAAAATTAAAAAACTGAAACAGAATTTTAATTAATGAACACTCATAAATAATTTCTGAAAATCAAAATTAATTTCTGACAGAATTTCACAAATAAATATTTTGAATTGTTAATGAGACCAGTATATTACTACTAGTTGTCAAAGAAAATAGATAGTATATTACTATTATCTGTCAAACAGTATATTACTACTATTTATTTTTCCAACCAGAATATTCTATTGTAAAACCACATAAAATAATTTCCGTAAGAAGAAGAAAAAGAAAAGGAAACAAACGAAAAATTCTGTATAAACAGAATAATTCGAATCTGTCTTAAGATTGTTGGAACAAGCTTCTGTGTACAATAAATAAAATTGAAATAAATCAAATAAATCAAATAAATAAAATAAATTACGTACCAAATTTATTATACCGAACCGAACAAAAATTGAAACGATCAAGTCGAGTATGTGACACTCTGTCCTTAAGACAGATTCACCCCTGCTACAATGCTTACGGTTAAAAGGTGTCTATCTCCCAGGATACAATGATCTTCACAAATTGTAGTAGCACTTCAAACAATTTGTACGTCGAATAAAAACCTTGTGTTCTAAACTCTCTGAATATTTTCCTAAAATAATATGAAGATTATATCATGCAAGAGAGCAAAACTAGAAGGAAGATCTAGAATTTTGGATTGAATGATTGCTGGAAATGGCCTGCTATGCATAGACCCGAACAGGTCTGAAAAACAACTTGAACAGGTGGATTTTTTGAATGAACAGGTGCAATAGATAATTGCTGGGCAGTTTCTATCTGTTGGAAAACTGCTGGCAGATTTGAATCTGTCCAGGTGAAGACTGTTTAGACTGATTGAACTATTGTGGAATTCGGATTTGAAATGAGGCACATATTAAGGACAAAAAAGTTTTGAATTCGAATTAAAATTAATTTTTTCCGCAAGAAATTTTGTCTAAAATATTAATATTAGAAACGACCCGACCCACAATCGCGCATGGCATGGCCGGTCGGATGGATGGCGGTGCGCGTGTGGTGGTTTGGGCCAAGGTTCCATTTGTCCATAACTCCTCCCTTTCACAAATTTGGGATGCTCCTTGGGACCCAACCCAAGTTAGTACACCAAGAGCTTATATACATATATAAACTCTATTAAAGTTTTAATGTGGAACAAGCCTAACAAGAAAACCCACATTTAATTCTTTAAATGTCTATTCAACGAACCCGAAAACGACGTCAAGTTCCCATTCACTCATAAATGGTTTTGATAAACCGCCTTCATCGTATGACTTACCATGCAGCAAGGAACACGTCACATCTTCAGACCCACCCTAAAAGACGTTTAGGGCCTACTCAAAATTGGGCTCAAAGATGTCCAAAATAAGCCTATATAAAACCAATTTTCCAACAGGCACTTGACCACATCCGGGATAAATTATTTCAAGCCTAAAATCATTGGTTGATCAAAGATTAGAACTTGAAGATGTGTTAGATTGTCGTCTTTTGCCTCCTTCTGGTCAAAAAATTGAAGATGAACTGAATTCCATTGTGTGGTGCTTAGGTGTTGATCTGCAATTGCGACCTATCATGAATGCTGCATCTCCAGTGCTTGAAAAAAAGGTTGGTGATCACTGTATGCTGAGCAAGAACAATCAAGCTTGGGCACAGTAGATTTTAAATTTGAATAATTAAAAATGTGTAATTTTGTAATATGTGATAATTGTATGGTTGAACTATGTTGATTATTTACTTTTTATCTTATACTTTGAGAGGAATTATTTTTCAATAAAATTTTGGATAATAAAGAAATAAATTTATAGATCTATTAAAATCAATTCTGCAAATGGTCTTTAATCAAGGAGGTTTTTCTCACTTTTTAAATTTTTTATTTCATTTTATAAAAAAATTTAATCAAGGAATTAATTAAGGGAAAATTGTGTTTTAATGGCAACACTTTAAAAAATGAGAGTTGTGTGACAATTTTCATTTGTATCCAGCAAAGATCATTTTGAATTTCTATAAAAATTATGATTGTTTTAAATTACTTCTAATTACCCAATAATAAAGTCGGTGGATCCACACTAATCTCTATCATTCCCCTTCAAACTGAACTACTTTCTTTATTTTAGTTTGAAATCAGAGTTGTTTTTAGAAAACATAATTTATTTTAAAGGCGAAAATTCAAAGTCTTCAAATGATATTTTTGAAGTGCTTAATTATGAAATTGATAGTGACAGGTGGTAAAGTATTTTCAAGGCTCTCCGTCCCCTATCTTAAAATATTCATAATTAATAGATCATTGAAAATTTTAAAATATAATAATCTTGCAATATAATCGATGAATGTAAATGTTACAACGGGCCTAACAGGCCTTGAAACATTTTATCGTCTTTTTCTTCTTTCTTCCATTATTGAAATTCAGCTCCCAGTGGCAGTTGTCCTTTGTTTTTGGGACTTTTTTCTGCACTGAGAAGTCCAAGTCCACGTCCACTCGTGGCCAGTTGGCTTGCTTGTGGCCCAAACGCACACTATAAGTTGAAAATTTTGATTTTCTTTGCTGTGAAACGCGTTAAATTGACAGAAAACGAAAGGCAACTACACTTGGGTTGGAGGTTATATAAACGGGGGGGTTAAACACCATTCTGAATCATTAAAACAAAAAAATGTGTTTGAGGAAGTTGGTTGTTTTTTGTAATGTTCTCTTGATTTTTATCATTTTTTTAGCTTTTCAAGTGGCTGCAAGGGAATTACTTGAGCATTCCACCACTGGTGTCACAGGTAAATTTGACTCGGTCCTTGAATCTTAAATGTTATGTTTGGATTTTAAATTTATTTACAAATTATTTTTATAAACTAATTTGCTAAATTCTTCAATTTTCTTTTCTTTTCTCTTCTATTTTTTTATAAGTTTTTGTAAATAATTTTTTTTGATAACGTAGTATTCATCATACTTGACCGATTAATTTGGGAAACCAATTCTACCGTCTATTAGCGGAAGCCCAATTAAAGCCAAGACATAGTCCTATATAGATTGGCCTTAAGAAATTATTTATATGTAAGAGATTTCAAATTTAAAACCTTGAAGGGAACACACCCAACCGAGGCCAAACCCTTTTATTATTTTTTTTTTCTCCAGCTAGTTAATGGTAGAGAGTTGAATATTTGATGTGCAACTTTTTATAACATCAAGAAATACAAAAGATTTGTAAAAGGTTTCGGCATCATTTTTTATAAGGCGAAATTGTTTGCTAGTGTAGTTAGCAGAAAATATTTTCAAATTAATGATTCTTTATAATATTAATATGTAATATTATATATTTTTATCATTTTATAATTAAAATTTGAAAATATCATGAACAAGTAATCATCCTTTTTTTTTAATCCATAAAAAAGTGAAAAAAAAATGGGTTGCAACAAAAGTCTGTGGGAAAAGTTGAATATTTGATGTGCAACTTTTTATAACATCAAGAAATACAAAAGATTTGTAAAAAGGTTTCGGCATCAATTTTTATAAGGCGAAATTGTTTGCTAGTGTAGTTAGCAGAAAATATTTTCAAATTAATGATTCTTTATAATATTAATATGTAATATTATATATTTTTATCATTTTATAATTAAAATTTGAAAATATCATGAACAAGTAATCATCGTTTTTTTTTTAATCCATAAAAAAGTGAAAAAAAAATGGGTTGCAACAAAAGTCTGTTAGAAAAATAGTACTAAACTATATGGAAAATATAATTTAAAAATATGTAAACGATTTTTTGGCAAAACCAAAACTGAAATAAATCGACATAATAACGTGATAAAATTTATAGTACATAAATCGATAAAACCTGATCGAGTGATCGAGTCGAGTGTGTGTGACACTTTTTCCTTAAGACAGATTCGTCCTTCCACCGGTGCTTAGGATTCAATGGACGTCTATCTCCTAGGATACAACGATCAATTTCTTGCACTAGCAGCATTACTATTGCAAACCTAGCGAACTTCGTTGTGCATGTACTCTCTTTATAGGAAAATTAGACTTAAGAAATGTGAAGAATAAATGCAAAGTGAAGAAGAAAAGATGAATTCTCTATTCTAATCAAAGTAAGGGAGATTTCTCATTATAGATTTTTTCATGACTCTTTAAAAAGGTTGTGACTCTTTAAAAGGACACACCTTTCCATGTCAAAGGACACAACCATTAGAGTAAATTTAATTCAAATTTTCCAACAAAGTCTTCCCAGCATTTTTTGAAAAATGGTGCAGGAAGAGTTCCTATCACTCTTTAACTCGAGTGGTGTTTTAGAAACTCAAAAAATCAATAGCATGATTCGGCTGGAGTTTGCCAATGTTTATTTATTATATTTTTATTCATTATCTGATATGGCGTATTGTAAATTGTTATGTCACTTGAAAAATTTGAGTGTCGCTTATAATAAAAATAAAAATAAAATAAAAAAGAGTCTAGAATAAAATTTTTGACAATTTTTTTTTGCAAAGTCCTAACATGGGAATTTGGATGGCAATGGTGGGTTGTTGGAAACAGATAAGATGGATAGGGAGCTCAAACAAACCAATAATTTTGATGATCCCTGGGGCCACGGTTATATTCACAATTGAAGATCCTAATCTTACTGTTTGGTGTGCTATTGAGCCCTTTGTGGTTCACTACTACTCTTTTCATATAATTGTAAGATGGTACTTTGTAAAACCATGATGGGTTATTATTATGAATAAAATTCAACTCAAGGGTTTCCATGGCTCTTGTTTTTAATTTGTTTGTCCCCATCCTTTGGGCTAGGTTTTGTGTTTCCTTTCCCTGTTTGGTTTCATGGAAAATATTTGTAACAATATAATAATGAAATATAAAGTAAATGGTGGGAGAAATTCTTAATTTCAGATGGTACTTTTATCGTTTTATTGTCTCCTTGATTATCACAGAGCATATCTATATATGCTGAACTTTAGTTTTAAAATTATTTAAGTAAGAATGAAATGGTGAAGGAATTTTTTTTTTCTTTTCATTTTCTTTTATCATTTCTCATAATAAAAAAGAAAGGACAAATTACGACAGTAGTCCATATATTTTGATTTGTGTGTCATTTTAGTCTCTGCAATTTCAATTGGCTCGATTTTGACATTGAATTTACAATTTTGTCTCAATTTAGACCAATTGGTTACAACACTTAACATTTTTTTTATGAAAAATGTGTACATAAGTATCATGTGCCATATTTTTAAGGGCATGTTATAAACTTATCAAACTCAATATGTTAACCTCAACTAATTTAGTAATAATTTTTCTTAAAATATACTAATGATATTATCAATTGGACCAAAATGACGCAACATTTAAAATTAAGAATCAAAATTGAGTCAATTGGAAGTGTAAGAAACAAAATGACAAAAGGGATCAAATATAGAGACCATCGGTGTAATTTTCCAAAAAAGAAACTAAGCAAATAAATTCAACTTTCAAAAATAGATTTTTAGTTTTAAAGGATTTCTGTAACGCCCAAAAAAAAAATTATACAGTGGATATAACAATAACCATGGCTCTTAAGAAATACCAGAATAATCCCCAACACTTTTCATTACATGATCACAGTGTTTATACGAAATAATTCCACATGCGGTTATACATTCAATGAATTCTAGCACATGAATCTATAGCATGTAGAACATTCAGTCAAAAATAAATAAATGCCCTCAAGGGCTTACAAATTTCAAGGCTTAAGCCCGGTTACATAAAAGATGGTTTCTCGAACCCACACAGAAACCCACACATATATAGCCTTTGGCTTACAAAAATATAGTCACAACAAAATAGAGCCTCGTGCTCTCAATACATACATCCAGTCCCTAGTTTGGCGGTTCACCACGTCTTTTTCTGCACCAAAATCCCATAAAGTGAGTATAAAGCCCAGTAAGAAATTCTTAACAAAGTATATACATTTTATACAAGCCTCATAAAATGGAATGCATATGCCATGCTATGCTTTTGACAAGAAAATCATGTTTTCATCTTTTGAAAACCATATTGCTCGATGATATCTAGACATTTCAACAGTTCAAAATTTATCAATTTAACTCAAGGGTGGTAAATACGACTCGAGTAATCCCCAGGTTGGTGTCTGCAAGTAGGCATAGTTAGCACTACCAAACCCCACTTTACCGGTTGCTAACCGAAACGGAAGTGGTACCTCATCCGCGCGTGTTTTCAGTCTTTCATCCTGGGCACTTAGTCCAACTTAATCAATTTCATCTACACCTCCTATCCGGACTTACTAACATATTTATCCCAAAGCAATTCCAAAAAAAATTTATTCACAAACTTTCCCTTTTTCAATGCAAAAGTTTCCAAACTCATTTCCAAATGTGTAATAACCAATTGAATGAATATGCAATGTAATAATTATCAATGCCATATAACATCTCTCTATTTTCAAATATCTCAACAATAATTCCAAAACAATCAAAACTCTCATTTCTTCTTTCAATGCTATTTCACAAAATGGCCACATATTCATTTAAATCTATCGACAAGTAACAACATTTCCGTATTTCGTATATTTGTCAACAATTTAGTCATTTCAAGATTATATTACGTCTTTGTACAACGACTTCCAAAACCACCACTTCTCATATTTCATGAAATTCATCATATATATATATATATATAGAGAGAGAGAGAGAGAGAGGTGAGAAATTCTCCATTCACTTATTCATTTTGGCACAAAAGGATAATATAATAGTAATGTCATCCATGGATTCTCAACAACTTTTCAAAACCCCCAAATTTCTAAGTCTTCTCACCACTACTATACATACCCAAATCATTTGAAAAGATTTCTTCAAAAACATTCTTTTTCTCAATCAATGTAATCCAAAACCCTCAAGTAATTATTTTTAAAAGAAACTAGAAGGAAATCCACTCTCAAACCACCCACATTGTTGAGTTAGTAATCAAGTTTCAATATTAACAAGTGAAACTTCAAAAATCCACAAAATCTTGCAAATATATATATATATATATAACTCTAAGAAAAATCCCTACCTCAAGTTTGGAGAAGATTTAATTTTGCTTCCGTTTGGCCCCCATTAACTCTGTTAGAATACGTTTAGAACAGTTTGAGGCCGTAGGTAATCTCATGATTACTGGCCGGTTACGTCCTTAACCCACGGGGGCGGGTTCGGGTCGTGACACCCTACCTCAAGTTTGGAGAAGAAATGAAATGAAATCCCCAAAATCAATGGTGTTGAAACTCGATCTCCACCGCATAAATTGAAGCCCTCAGTTTAGTTCTCCAAGATTTGTGAAGGATGTAGGGTCAAAACTCCAATGGATTGGGAGAGATCAAGAGTTTATGGTTTTTTGATGGGGTTTTTACAGAGAATGGAGAGGAAATGGTGTTTTTTTAGAGAAAGAGAGAGATATGTAAAAAGTGAAATGCACACAGCCTCAAAAGAGAAGAAAAACAAAATTTTCGGACACAGTCGACTCTGGCACGTGCGGCATTGATTCCTCGCACATGCGGCACTCTTCCACACCTTCCTTCGGTGCCTACCTTTATTGCAGTAGCAACCTTGGAACTCTCCTGTTTCCCGCATGTGCGGCTTCATTTCCCGCACGTGCGACCCCTCTCCTGTACGTGCAGCCCAAGGCCCCACACGTGCGGCTTTGCCCTTTAGCCATGAAACTTTTCTAGCTCAATACCAGACACTCCGGATCCAACCTTGCACCTTTCAAAACATGAGAAACTTGGCATGAAAATAAACAAGGATAACAGTTTTAAGAAAAGTTTTCAAATACAATAACCCAAACTATAAGTCAAGGCTCCTAGTTAGACCCGACACTCTAACGAAAGTAAATTCAACGTAACCCAAGAGGACGAGGCGATTTACATACTGGGTCATCACAAGCTCCCCACCATAGGAAATTTCGTCCCCGAAATTAAATTGAACTACCTAAACAAGGGGTTTCAAGTGATCAAAATCACGCCATTACATTTTCAAATCACAATCTTAACTCTCAACCAAAATTCATCATTTTCATCATGGTTTCCTCATTAACAACAATCATCCAAGACAAGCATACACATGAAGCTTTCCAATAAAAGTATTAATACCCCTTAACAATCTCATGCTTAAAACAACAATGTACATAACAATACGTAATTTAACAATTTTAATATGTTTCCCTCAAACACTAGGTAATAATATCAAGGAAACAACTTAAATATTTTCAAACAAATCCGGATACTTGGAGCGGACTTCCGCCTTCCGTTCCCATGTTGCTTCCTTAACTCCATGGTGTCTCCACAACACCTTTACTAGTGGTATAGTTTTGCCCCGTAGCACTTGCTCCCGTATATCTAATATTTGAACCGGTCGCTTTTTGTATGAGGCATCCTCATCTACCTTCAAGTCAACCCAATCGAGCACATGAGAAGGGTCGGGTTCATACTTGCTAAGCATAGATACATGGAATACGTTGTGAACGCCCGAAAGTTGTGGTAGTAAAGCTAGTCGGTATGCCACTTCCCTAATTTGCTCCAATATCTCGAAAGGCCCAATGAACCTCGGAGATAATTTATCACTCTAACCAAATCTCATCAAATCCCCCCCTGGTGAGATTTTAAGGAACACATGGTCACCAACTTTGAAGGATAAAGGTTGTCTCCTCTTATTGGCATAACTCTTTTGTTGGCTTTAGGCCGTAGCTAACCTCTTCCGAATGAGAGAAACTTTCTCTAATAATCGCTGGACCCAACAATGGTGCATCACCTACCTCGGCCCAACAAACCGGTGATCTACAAGGTCGGCCATACAAGGCCTCAAATGATGCCATCTCTATGCTAGCCTAGTAACTATTGTTGTAGGCAAACTCAATCAATGGTAAGTGCCTCTTCCAAGACCCCTTGAAATCAAGGACGCATGCTCTAAGCATGTCCTCTAAAATCTGAATGGTACGTTTCGACTGCCTATCGGTTTGAGAATGGTAAGTTGTGCTAAAGGTCAACTTAGTTCCCAGCGCCTCTTGAAGGCTTTGCCACAACCGGGCAGTAAAATGAGGATCTCTATCCGATACAATGGTTACTAGGACTCCATGAAGTCGAACTATCTCTCTAATGTACAACTCTGCCAAGTGTTCAACTGAGTTGCCGATGCGCATCGGAATGAAATGCGTAGACTTAGTCAACCTATCAATAATCACCCAAACGGCATCATTGCCTCGTTGTGTTCAAGGAAGTCCAACTACAAAATCCATGGTAGCATGCTCCCATTTCCACTCGGCTATCGGTAAGGGCTGTAGCAAACCCGCTAGTCTTTGGTGTTCGACCTTCACTTACTGACAAGTAAGGCACTTCGATACAAATAAGCTGACATCACGCTTCATACTCCTCCACCAAAACTGACGACTAAGATTATGATACATTTTGGTGCCTTCCAGATGTACCGCAAGGCATGAGTGATGGAACTCTCAAAGTACTTCTTCCCTCCAGGATTCTAGTACAAACAAACGGTCTAGATAACGCACACTTAGATTTGAGTGAATGTTCAAACCTTTCTCTTCCTTCTCATTGAAAATTCTATCACGGATTGACTCCACTTCACGGTTCCCTTGTTGTGCCTCTATGACTTTACTAATCAAGGTAGGTTGAGCACTCAAAGTAAACAAGGTTGCACTCTCACCGGACTCACCCAAGTAAATCAAACTTGCCGATATCATCTAGCATAACCCATTCCCGAATGGCCACACTTGCCAAGCTACTCACGAATTTTCAACTCAAGGCATCGGCTACTACATTGGCCTTTCCCAGATGATAGTGTAACTCAAACTCATAATACTCCATAAATTTCATCCACCTTCATTGGCGTAAATTCAAGTCTTTTTGAGA